ATGTATACTGCATTGTATCAATGCCCCCCTGAAACTACAGAAGCACTATCACCACCATTTTCAATATAAAATTGATCTGCCTCATGTTTCACAAATGCTGAACTTTGCTGGCAGGTGTCACCATCATAACTTTCTGATTTCTTTTCACTTCCCAAACATTTTAATCTCCTTTGTCTATTTTCTCCCCATACCCTAATCCTCACCAGTAGGGCATTGTCACAGTATTTGCCTAAGATTGGGCTGTCAACAAAGGGTCTGTGGGTTGCTTTATCAGCAATATATATGTCACTTCCCTACATACCAGTTGCAAATGGGTGTTCCCAGGTAGATGAATTTCATGCCTACATGTTCGTCCACTCTCTGACTAAAAGCAACTCAAGCGGGGATAGAGATCTGGATCAGACAGGACATCTGTGATGTAATAGGAAAGATACCTGCTTCTGCAAAAATACAATTATGTTGAGAGCTGCAGACTTGGAACATGGCTCTAAGTTTTAAGGCGGCCTTAGGAAATTACATCATCCTGGTGCCCTGTTGGTCTGTGAGGCGATAAACAAATGTGTTGGTGTTAACTACCTTCCAGTTGACTTCGACTCATAGTGACCCTATGAGTAAGACAGCTCCAAGCCCCCCCCCCCCAACTTCAATTGTTCTCCTCAGGCCTTGCAAGCTAAGGGCCATGGCCTCCTTGATTGAATGTATCCATCTAGTATGCATCTAGCAGACAGACAGCATGGCATAGTGGTTTTAGTGTTGGACTACAACTCTGGAGACAAGGGTTCAGTTCCACAGTCAGCCAGGAAACCCCACTGGGTGACTTTAGGAAAGTCAGGCTCAGGGAAGGGCAATGAAAAACCACCTCTGAACTACCATAATCTTTCCAAGAAAACCCCATGATAGGTTTGTGTTGGGGCCACCATAAGTCAGAAACGACTTGAAGATGCATAGCAACAACAGTATGCAACCTTCCTCTCTTTCTGTAGTCTCCAACTTTCCTAGCATTATTGTCTTTTGTAATGATTCATGCCTTCTCATGATGTGGCCAAAGCATGAGCCTCAATTTAGACATCTTTTGACTTCCCGGGAGATTTCAGGCTCAGTCTGTCCAAAGACCCATTTGTTTGACTTTCTGGGTGTCCACAGTACCCTCAGCACTCTTCTCCAGAGCCACATCTCAAATAAATGTATCTTCTTCCTATCTGCTTTCTTCACTGTCCAGCTCATGCAACTGTACATGATGATGGGGAATACAATGGCTTGGACCAATCCTTACTTTAGTTGTTTTTATTGTTGTGTGCCTTCAAGTCATATATGACTTATGGTGACCCTAAAGAAACCCTATAATGGGGTTTTCTTGGCAAGATTTGTTCAGAGGAGGTTTGCCATTCCTTTAGAGTTCAGCTTTACATCTTTGCACTTTCAGATTTTGTCTAGTTCTTTCATAGCTGCCGTTCCCATCTTAACCGTCTTCTGATTTCTTGACTGCAGTCTCTGTTCTAATGGAGCCAAGGTATGGGAAATTTTTTACTGTATTTCTATTTCTTGATAAACAAATGCCTTTAAATAAATCAATAAAATTAGGATCTTCATTCTACCCAGACATCCACACCATTGCTGCTGGCATTGTCAACTACCCATGCCTGACCTCCTATTGAGGCTTTAAAAACACACATTAAATCCCAGAATCATAGAGTTGGAAGAGACTTCAAGGGCCATCCAGTCCAACTCCCTGCCATGCAGGAATTCACAATCAAAGCACTCCTGAAAGATGACCATCCAGCCTTTGTTTAAAAACCTCCAAAGGAGATTCCACCACATTCCAAGGCAGCGTATTGTATGGTCCCAGTCAAACAGCTCTTACTGTCAGGAAGTTCTTCCTAATGTTGAGGTGGAATCTCTTTTCCTGGAGTTTGAAACCATTTCTCAGTGTCCTATTCTCTAGAGCTGCAGAAAACAAACTTGCTCCATCTTCAATTTGATATCCTTTCAAATATTTAAACAGGACTATCATATTGTCTCTTAACCTTCTCTTCCCCACATTAAACATACCCAGCTCCCTAAGTCACTCATCATAGGACAGGGTTTCCATACGTCTCACCATTTGGGGGGGGGGGGGGGGGATTTTCACAGCAATAGAAACAAATGAGGAAGCCAACTAATCCTCAAACAGAACCTTGCTTGCTCTTGTGTCTTTAAAAAAGCTGCCTAGATTTGATAGGCCAGCAGCTGGAGCTTTTAATAACAGGGGAAAAAAACCCTGTCCACTGCTGATCCCAGGCTCCTATTAAAGGCACAGTTATCAAACTCAGTTGAAGAACTGGCAATTTTGTTTTCTAATGTGCCTTCAACTACAAACCCATGTGAGTGATTTCAACAAAAGATGCTTTTTCCAGCCTTTTATTTCCATGCCAGGAAGAAGCTGCACCTGCTCAATTTCTGCAGGTCAGATACACAGTCAGACATTTAAAAAGATGGCAATTCTGTTTAGATGACAGAAGAAAAATTTCTAATTGTATGTACATGTAGTGCAACTTTAATTATGCTACAGGGTATTCCTGTAAGCATTTAGGAGTCATCTCATAAGAGGGAGAATAATTCATGTTCATTGTATTTAATGCTGTTCAACAATTTTTTCCTGCTTTTTCCTCTCCAATTTGGCTCAAGCCCAGGCAAGAAATCCAGCTCTTAAAATGCCATTTAATGCAATTCATTAAGGCAGTGTTTTCCAAGACTTCTAACACACTCCCATTTTATCTTATTTAAATTTAGGACTCATCAGCCTAACTGTACCACAAAATCTTTTGAAACTTAGCAACAAGTCTCAAGGGTAAGAAAAACACTAAGTCAGAGTTGACTGGGAGGGCTGGAAAGCAAGGAGGGAGGGACAAGAGTGAAACATTAACAAACTTCTGGTTTGAAACACAAGGAAGGCTGCCAACAGCTAATGACAGAAAGTATTTTAAGATCATTAAGTCACACAGTAACACTGTTTGCTTCTTCAATTGTTGCATTGTGCCTGCATTTGAAAACTCCTTCAGAAGTCCACTTCAGAAGTAACACACTCTCCAAACCATGTTTTGAAAATGAGAAATTGTGTTGTATGTTTTGGGTTGTCTGCCTTGTTGTGCCTTTCCTTTCCCCTTTGCATACAAGACCTCCCCTCCCTTTTGAAAGTTGCCTTAAAACAATACAGACAACTCTTCTGCTCACAGAAGGTATGTAAGCATTTTCTATCAAATCTGTTAAGGGAGACAGGATTGAGAGCATTAAAGCATTATTCCAGATTTCAGGTATACATCACTACAATCTACTTTACACACACTTCCCTACAAAGCCAGATAGATGTTAACTATCAAGATCTATGTGAATCGGAGGGTCAAACGTACCCTGCAAGTGTAGTATTACAATGGTCCAAAACACTACAGAAATAATCCAGTTTGACACAGCTTTAACTGCCCTGGCTCAATGCTAGGGAATTCTGGGCACTGTACTTTTGTGAGACATTTAACCTTTTCTATCAGAGAGCTCTGGTGCCACAACAAGTTACAGTTCCTAGGATTCCCTAGCACTGAATCAGGGCAGTTAAAGCGGTCTCAAACTGGATTATTTCTGCAGTGTGTTTTGAGCCTTACTTAACAACGCCTCTGACAAAGAGTTTATCCACACAGCAAAAATAAAACAGTATGACACCACTTTACCTGCCATTACTTTATCCTATAGAATCCTGGGATTTGTAGTTGGTGAAGCACCAGACCTCTCTGACAAACCAGACTGAATACATCAACAAATACCAGGATTCCACAGGATGGAGCCATAACAGTTAAAGTGGTGTCAAACTGCTTTATTTCTGGAGTGTGGATACACCCAAAGCTCCGTTTTACAACGTCTTTTTACATCTGCCCAGCCCCTCTTTTCCTTCTCATCTTCTGGCTGACTGGTTTTTTTAGCAGCACTTTGCATTGGGAGGATGGCCTGAAGGAGAGACTTGGGTAACCGGGTATGTTTAGCCTGGAGAAGAAAAAGTTAAGAGGTTTAAGTCTTTGAAGGGGTGTCATATTGAGGGCAAGCTTGTTTTCTGCTACTCCAGAGAACAGGACCCAGAACAATGGATGAAAGCTATAGGAAAAGAGATTCCACTTAAACATTAGGAGGAACTTACTGACATTAAGTGGAAGACACTCCCTTGGAGTGTGGTGGGGTCTCCTTCTTTGGAGGTTTTTAAACAGGGGCTGGATGGCCATCTGACAAGAGTGCTTTGATTGTGTATTCCTGCATAAGGTCTCTTCAAACTCTATGATTCTATGACTCACCAGCTTCCTTTCCTCTGTCTACGTCATGTTTCTGACTTATGGCCACCCTAAGGCAAACCTATCATGGGGTTTTCTTGGCAAAATATGTTCAACAGGGGCATTGCCTTCCTCTGAGGAAGAGACAGTGTGACATGTCGAAGGTCCAACACTTAACACTCAAGTGGGCTAAGTAGGGATTTGAACCTCAAGCACCCAGAGACTTAGGGGGGTTGCAGACTGCCAGAAATAGTGCAAATTAGTCCACTTTTAGGGTTAGGGTTAGTGCTAGGGAATCATGGGAATTGTTTTTTTTCTGAGACATTGAGCCTTTTCTGTCAGAGAGCTCTGGTGCCACAATAAAATACAGTTCTCATGATTCCCTAACCCTAACCCTTAAAGTGGACTCAATTTGCACTATTTCTGGCAGTCTGCAACCCCCCTTAGTCCAGCACTCAAACCCTACACCACATTGGCCCTCTATTTGATTATTACATTACATCAATACACCTGAGAAACTGCAAGGTAATAAGAAAAAGCTCATATTTAAAATACATATTTCAGCTATAAGGATGCTAAACAGTTCCTATTTATTCTTTCATCTTTTCTCCTATTGTTGCCATTCCCTTCTTTACAAATGATTTTTTGCATATCTTTAAAACTTTTTGATTTGGTCCAGTTTAATTGGTATGCAGGCTAGTTCTAACTTACGTTGCCTGTGGCATAGTGGTTTCAGCATTGGACTACAACTCTGGAGACCAGGGTTCAAATCCCCACTTGGCCATGGAACCCCACTGGGTGACCGCAAGTCTCACTCACTTAACCTCAGAGAAGGCAAAGGGAACCCTTCTGAAAAATTATGCCAAAAAAAACCCCAAAACAGGGTTGCTTTAGGGTCACCATAAGTCAGAAGTTACTTGAAGGCACACAAAAACAACAAGTTTTGAGGGGTGGGTCCAGAACACACATTTATTAAATTGATCTATATAACAAACATCCTTACTAATATATGGAAACAAGCACTCTGTCTTTCTTGTTGTTATGTGTCTTCAAGTCATTTCTGACTTCTAGTGATCCTAAGGCAAACCTTTCACAGGTTTTCTTGGGAAGATTTGTTCAGAAGGGCTTTGTCTTTGCCTTCCTCTGAGGCTGAGAGACTGTAACTTGCTCAACATCATGCAGTGGGTTTCCGTGGCCGAGAAGGGAAACTCTGCCATTCCAAAAAGCTGATGTATCCTCCATTCTTCATTCTACACTCCCTACCTTTGTTGCTTTGTGCCTTCAAGTCATCTCCAACTTATGGCAATCCTAAGATGAACCTATCATGGTTTTTTTTTCTGGGCAAGAGCTGTTCAGAGGAAGATGGTCATTGCCTTCCCCTGAGGCTGAGAGCATATGACTTTCCCAAGGTCATCTGGTGGGTTTCATGGCCAAGCTGGGAATCAAACCCTTGTCTCCAGAGTTGTAGTCCAACACTCAAACCACTGCACCATGATGGCTCTCACCCCTATCTACCCACCTCAAAAAAATGTAATCCACCCTTCTCACCCTCCTTTTCCATTTCTGAGCCACAATAGCTGTAGGCTAACAATGCTCCCCTTCCTAGTACCTTTCCCTACAGCTGTCTGCCCCACAGCACCAAACTGAATCTCACAGCCTCTCCCACCTACAAACCCTCCTTGAGACTCAAATAACAAACCACAACCTCACATCACAAAATGTCACAGGCTTTGTTGCTGCCGTTTGTTTTGGTTCCAAAATCCTACTCCAGAAGTCCAGGAAGGTTTGGTTTGCTCAGAAAGCATTCCCACCAGGAAGCATGCACAGAGGACTGGAGGAATTCCGCTTGAGATTTTCAGAGCTGGGGTGGGGGAGAATATATTATAAGAAAAGAAGAAAAAGGTGGGGCTGACACCTAGAGGAGAAAGAACAAAGGCAGCTCCAGACAACAAAGACCACCAGGTAGAAGTAACAGCCAATCAAAGTGTGAAGGCAAGGCACAAGGGGAGGATCTTAAAACAGGAGGGGAAATTCAGAAAAGACACCCCTTTTCAGGTTGCCCGCTCTTTTTCCAATTAGGGTTGAGGTCCTTGCCCCCAAAGGACCCCAAACACCATGGGAGGAGAATGATTGTTAACCCATTACTACTCCTTCAGAGGGAGAAGGGTTGTGCTGCCAGACAGGGCATTTGGGGGTCTTTTCTACACCCCTTACTACCTACCCACCTCAAAAGAGTGGAATCCCCCCCCTTCTCACCCCCCTTTCCCATTTCTGAGAGGAGCTAAAAGCTGTATCCTAACAATGGCCAGAGTGACCAGATGTCCTCTTTATCCAGGGCATGTCCTACATTTCAACTTTCTGTCCAGGAGTAATGCCCAAATGTCCTCCATTTTGGGCATGACTAAGCAGCGTGAATTTACGTTTATATGAGTGTTTTTACCCTTTTTTTTGGTCATGCCCTACATTTTGCTTGCATGTCCTAGACTTTGCAGTGTCTTGCCCTCCTTGTGGTTAGACATCTGGTCACTGTGAACAATGCTGCCCTTTCCAGTACCATTCCTCACAATTCTCAGCCCCCCAGTACCAAACTTTGGTACTTCTTTGGACTCCCCAAGGACTTCCTTCTTTTCAGGATTTTGTTCCTCCCCACACACACCAGTTTCTTTCCCACCCAGGTTGGATGGCAAAGCTCTCTGGCCACTCCTGGGTCACCTTGGTTGCTCTCCTACCCAGAAAGGAGAAGGAAGATGTCCAAAGAAGCGGCTGGGTTTCTTTCTGCCACTTTGCTCCTTCTCTCCGATTCCACTGGCCCTGGGGATGCAAGCTTCCTATGATGATGATGATGATTATTATTATTATTATTATTATTACTATTGCCTGCTTCACACACCCCAAATTGGGACTCAAAGCCTCTCACACTTTAAAAAAGAACAATACTATTCAAAACATACCAAAAGTGACCCTTCAAATAGGAGCCAAGTGCAGTGTAGTGGTTTGTGTGTTGAACTATGGCTCTGGAGACCAGGGAGTGAATCCTCTCACTCAGCCACAGAAACCAGCTGGGTGACCTTAGGGAAGTCACACACTCTCAGCTTCAGGTAAACATCTGAACAAGCCTTGCCAAGAAAGGCTTGCCTTAAGGTCACCTTAAATTGGAAACTATTTCAGTTAAAAACAATACAAGAAGATCAAGGAGGAGATGAAGGATAAATATAAATATCCCACAAACATGAAAATACTATAAACAAGAAGATACAGTTCAAAGAAGAAAGTGATACTGAAAAAGTTTCATATATGTATACACACACACATATATAGCCTTAAAAATGTTTGGTTAAAAACAATACAAGAAGAGTAAGGAGGAGGCTGAAGACAGATATAACTATCCCAAAAACATGAAAATACAGTACTATAAACAAGAAGACAAGGTTCAAAGAAGAAAGTGCCACTGAAAAGGTTTTGTCTGTGTGTGTGTGAGAGAGAGAGAGTTTAAGGCCACACACATACATATATACAATATATATATA